TGGCTACTAACCGAAAGATTAACAATATGAAGCCATATAGCAGTGCTGCAGAAGAAAGGCCAGGCAATCTGCTGACATAAAGATTAAATTAAAGAAAACCCTAGAGAGCTCAGTTCTATTCTGTAGTATACAGGGTCTCCATGAACTGAAACTGGTTCAATGGCACTGGGTTTGATTTTCTTTTTTTTTTAACAGAGAAGCCCAATTAACTTAACTGTATCTAGGTATATTTGGCTAATTTGATGGCATGTTTCAATGTATAACATGCCTAAAAAGTTAAGAGGGAAAGAGATTAAACTTTTGAATTTCACATGCTCAGGATATCAAACACTTAGCTAAGATTCAAACCAAATTGAAAATGCTTTGGTAAAAAAAAAGAAAATTAAAGCAATAGCTTTCATAATCTTTTAAAAGGCAAATTCGATTAAGCCAAGTTTATAATTTAAATTAAAATCCCTACTTCTCTGTCATGATGTATAATTAAAAGGCATTACAATTAATAGAAAATATAAGCAAATATTAATATCTTAACACAGCATTTTTTTTTTTTTTTAAAAAAAGGCAGTGGAAGCCTGAGTAAAAAGAAGCCAGGAAGCAGCTGAAAAAGAGACCGGTTCACTGTGAGAAATGTAAACCTCTCAGACAGTGCTACGGCCCCGAATCCAACAGCTCAGGAACAAGGCCAATTAGTGCAAAATAGTAAACATAAATGGTGAAGCTGCAAAGTTTTCAAAAGAGTTGTAAGAATAAAAGCAGCTACATAGAAACAGGCAGGGACTCACAAACCCAAATTATCTGCTATACTTACTAGCCCTGGGAAGAATTTCTTTAGAATCTGAGCTCCTTAAATGATATGTAATGTACAATATTCAAGCTGTAAATTTTATGATAAAGGGTTAAGATAATAACATTACTGCACAAATAACTAGATCTTTAAAATACTGCCTGCATTACTGCAGTTAACAAAAATAAATTACTAAGATACTGCAAACCAATTCTCTTAATAGTCTACCCTTTTCAAATGAAAAGAAAGTATTTAAATATGAGACACACAAAATCACAGGATTTTGAAGTACAGAGAGGATTAGTAAGACAACGCAGCAACATTTTTCATTTGAAAATGAACAAAGCAAAAAACCTGGCTAGTGAAAACCAAGAAAGGCTGCCAGGACTCAGACTCTAATTTTTTGTTTCCTATGATATAAAGCATTGTGTGAAAAGCCTTTCACAGAATTCTCTGCTCCTATTGGTAGACCGTCACTCAACTCTGCTTTAAATGACCATGACCAATAGTTTCACATTTTTAATGAAATTCTTAAGCAGTTATGTTGAGTACTGATTTCATTTTAGTTTCCAAAAAAGAAAAAAGTTTATTGTCAAGGAAATCGATGATAGTGGTATGCTGGCAAATGTAGATGGAAGAAAGTTTTTTATCCTTCAGATATTTCCTAGACCTCCTTGCAGGCCAAAAAGGAAAACTGCAGGTGATCTTGATGTCTACTAAGCCATAAATCTTTGTAGTTTGAGAAGGATATGTGATTCAGTTGAGGTTGTTAATTTAGGTAAAATTTTACTACATTTATACTTAAACATTTAAAGATTATTACTGGTGCCAGCAAAGAAAAACTGTTCTAATTCTACCAATGCTGTCGTTATTTTGTAGCTCATTAAGTAGTTCCACCGTTCTATGTAATAAAAGAAAATAATGAGCTTCTTGGTAACTTGCAGGGTGGCCAAGTGCTGCTTTTCTCAAGAAATAAAAATATAAAAGATGTGAAAAGTTCTCTCTCATTCTAATCAAATTGGAATGAAGGAATGTAGGAAAATGCAAGAGAAGAAAAAGATCCAAAGGGAACTATGAAAGCATTAATTTGTGAGGAAGACACTGTCGTAAATCTGTATAAAACAACCAAAACCCCAGGGGGGGAAAATTCCTTGCTCATTTTCACCTAAGAAAACACAAAACCAGAAATACACACTATTCTATAGGTGTTGACAGGGAAAAAGAACAACATTTAACTATGAAAGTGTTTAGATAATATATTTTACAATTAAGAATTATATTCCTTAATAGTACTCTGGTGGCTTAGTGGTAAGGAGCAGTTCTATCATCCTCAAGGCAAGTGGTTCAAATCCACCAGCTGCTCTGTAGGAGAAAGATGAGTAATCTCCTTGGGTGTGATTTATAGCTCCTAAAAACCCACTGGAGAGTCAGTTATGAGTTGGTTCCGACTCGACAGCCCCTAATACCATCACCACCACCACCACCACTGTCATCACCACATCTCTCTTACAATGCTCCTTGGAAGCGAAGATTGTGAGACTTTGTCTCCCATATTTTGGATATGTTATCTGGTGGGGCCAGTCCCTGGAGGACACCCTGATAGGCAAAGAGAAAAAGAAAAAGACCTTGAACAAGATGGACTGACACAGTGGCTCCAACAAGAAGCTCAAATGTAACAATGACGGTGAGACGGTGTATGATTCAGGCAGAATCTCGTTCTGTTGTACACAGGGTTGGTACAAGGCGGAACTGAATGGACAGATTCTAAACGGAACATCTCTACTAATTCCATAAAAAGGTTTAAATATGATTATCAGCACAAGAGTCGGTATTGAAAGTTTTTTTTTATGCTTATTTTTGTGAAAATAATTTATTACCTCTGAAAGGATGCTTTGTGAATTGATTTTGATTTTATATTTCAAATTGAATGAGTTTCAACTAGTATAAGCTGCAAAATAAGAAGGTGACTATGTAACTTTTGATTATACAGTGTTATAATTGACTTGTAAAAGTCAAACACAATGTAAAAAACTATCAAAGACATGATTATGTTTTCTGAACCTGTACTCTCCAGATTTCATCTTACTTACTGTTTCTTCCCTTCCAATCAGAACTAACATGAATGAAAATCTCATAATTAAAAATATCTGCTGACTGCTGACAGACCAAAGCCAGTGGTCACACAGACATTTTATCCTTAATTAGGATAGTATTTTCTGTTGTTTTCCACTAACTGGGATTATATTTCACAGAGAAGAATTTGCACTGGCACACTAGTTCTACCTATGATGAAGGGTACATAGTTTGACTACAGCAAGGCATAAAAATTTAGTTCTGGGAAAGAACAAGCTAATAAAAGTACTGGGTATACTAACAGACTAAATTATTCACCTGCAAGAGATATGAATGAGCAGAAAAATTCAATCCAACACAAACCAAAATCATGGAATTGGTTTATCCTCACAGTGACCTTCCACCAGGATGCCGAGGCTATAAATCTTTATCGGAGGAGACTTCCCATCTTACTCTCATAGACTGGTTGGTGGTAGATTTGAACTGCTGACCTTATGGTTAGCAACTCAATATATTACATGCTATGTCACCAGTGCTTCTTTAACAGAGTAAAGTGGAAGTAAATCTTTTATTATCATAGATAGCAGCTAAAATTTGCATCATAATTTTGGGAAAAAAGAATCAAGACAAAACACAACATGAAAATTAGTCACGTAAAGCCCAGGAAAACTCTGAAATGAATTAATTTTGGTAGAATAAAGAAACAATGTGCTCAGAATTAATGAGCAGTCTCATAATAAAATTTTTAACTTGTGTGTAATGAACAACTTTTGTTACCTTTCTGAATTAAAGCACGTCCTAGTTTACATTGTTTGAATCAGAATATTAAACTCCAGATAAACCTAAATGAATGAATGCTTATTTGAGACAGAGGACAAATCTAATTTGGCTACCATAACTAATGATTGTATACAACATTCTTTGGAAGAACAGTTACCATATGGATAAAACAGGACAAGTAACATGTAAGAGAAATAACCTACACATTAAATATAAAACAACTCCCAAGACTAACAGATGAGGGCCTTGGAAGCTACTCTACAAATGTGTAAGGAAGAACTTCAGATGGTAGCAGGGTCACAATTATCATTGAAAACCGCAGTGAGGAGAAGCAAGAACTCAGACTGTCGAAGGAAAAGGTGTTTCTCCTTCTGAATGTATAGAAATCTTTGGGAATACAATACACCACTGAAAGTAATATAAACAATTTCCATGAACTTGGAGGCTTATGTTGCCACAGGGAATCATATTGACATGGTCTAAGAGCCATCAAATAAGACAGATCTTTAAAAAAATCCACTTCAACATAGGATTATGCAAGACTGTATAAAAAAAACTCATTAAACATGGGGACAGACAGACGCTGAGACTGAAAGCATTATGAGTTCATTAAAATCAGGAAGAGGTTTTTACACTGATCACACTAATTTTCACAGAATGCTTAGGGAAAATTTGAAAAAGGGTAAAAAAAAAGAATGTTGAGTTCCATTATATTTTATATGCCAAATATTAGAAATATTTGGCTTAAAAATCATCTTTCACTATAAAAATCAAGAAACTGAAAACAAAAACACAGAAAAGATGTATAAAAGCATTGTTTCTTTTTTTAAAAAAAATCCCCTATGTTTTTTTGGGGGAGGGTTTTTGTGTGTAACATCGAAATGGATCCAACTGGTATAGGAGGAGATTGTCCCAAAGCATTGCTCATTTCTATAAATCAATAGCACTTTGTGAGAACTCTCAAAGTGAAGTAGTCACTGTGGTAATTGCTCTGGGTAGCCAAAAAGAGAATGGAACTTGTTTGTGGCCCCTCCTTTTTTGCTGTTACCAGAAGCTCCACAATCTAGCGGTAAAGATGGATTCAACTATTATGACTGTGAGGTTGCTCACCACCAAACTGGTAGAATGGCTTCACTTGACTCTTCACCTTTCTAGCATATAAGCCTCAACATGTGGTGTCTTCTGGAGGATGCTAAGATTGGCTCATACCTTAACCTTGGTGATTTGCACACACATATGTAGACACACGTCTGAGATACCTGATAGATTGAACTTCATAGTATTTAAATGGTAAAACAAATAAAACAGAATGAGAAATCAAAGGCAAAGCTGAGAAGTCATCCCATGAACACACCTGACTCACCTGTCTGCTGTGCAGGCTGTGGCAGTGGTTGGTTTAGATGGGAGTTGTAGTTGACAGAAGGGACTGGGCGATACTGAGCTTGACTCGAGTGACAGTGGCCTGGAGCACAGTAACAGGCTGGCATCTAGGATCATAAATATTGAGGGGGGAAAATGATTGCAAGAGACCTTTCTCCTCTTGTGAAGAACATCACAGTAAAATTCCTAATCATTCTTGCCAGTATCTGAAAATAGATTTGCTTAGCTTTAAACATAAAATTTTTAAGCATATAAAACCCCTATCTTAAGATACAATTAGATATAGTAGTTTTGATGTTTACCAATTGTTGCAGACTACTAAGAAAGCTAAAGGCACCTTCCAACATCCCTTTACTCTACTTTCTACAGAAAAACCATTAATTAACGTGTTGGTACACATTTCAACACATTTTTAAAATTTCACTCTTCCCCCCCCCTTCCTTGTTGTGTACTGTCGAAATGGATCCGATGGGCACAGGAGAAGACTGCCCCTCCTTCTTTAGTGGAGCATCTGGTGGATGCGAACTACGCACCTTTGGGATTACAGTGCAGTCACCAGAGCGCCCTACAATTTCACTCTTACTGATAAACATAATACTGTTTAGTATTTTATAAAATTACGTGTGTGTGTGTGTGTGTGTGTGTGTGTGTGTGTGTGTGGTCAAATTAGATCTGACTGGTACAGGAGAAGATTGCCCCTCCTTCTCCAGCAGAGTATCTGGTGGATTTGAACCACGTACTTTTGGGATTGCACTGTAGCTCCTTACCACTAGGCAACCAGAGCTCCCTTATAAAATTACTTTTGCTATTCTACTAGATATAACATTATGCAATGTAAATTTTTTTAAACTGTGATTTTTTAAATTTTTAACATTTTATTCTGATTTACAAAGCATATTAGTTTCTTATTCAATACTTTCTATCCAATTTGTTTTGAGACATTGGCTACATTCCTCTCAATGGATTGTATGCATCTCCTTCCTCTGGGATTCCATTTCCACTTGCCCAACTTTCTTGCTCCTTCTGCATTTGGACTTTGTAGATATAGGCTTACTCCTTTTGTCTCCTATAGTTGACTGTTCTGAGGTGCATCTTTCTCCAGATGTAACTGTTCCCTTTATGTGGCTGGTTTTAGTGGTCACCAAGGCAACTAGGACTCAGAGCGACCCTATAACAAGCACTACATCTGACAGATCCCTATCCTGCACCACCCTCATGTCCACTGCGGCATTCACTGAGTAACTCCATCTCGCGAGGGCCTTCCTCTCTTTCTGATTCTACACCTTTCCCATCATCATGTCTTTTCCAAAGACTAGTCCCTCCTGATAAAATGCTCTAAGTTTCCTTGGGAGCTCTGGTGGCCTAGTAGTCAGAATATGTGCTGCAATCCTGAAGGAACATGGTTTGAATCCACCAGCTGGTCCTCAGGAGGATAGGCAATCTCCTCTCTTGGGATTACTGCCTCTGAAAACCTGCTGGAGAGTCAGGTATGGGTCAGTTCTGACTCAATGGCACACAAGTTTGCTTTATCAGACTACTGTGGACTATGGGACTGGCTTGGTTTCAAGTTTGGAAGATGTCCTGGGAATTCTACGAGCCTCTATCACACCAGTGTATTTAGTAATCTTTGTAAATCTGAAGTTCTACATTTTTCTCACTAGCACTGTTTTTGAGACTTATTTTTGAAATATGTAGTGCTAGCTCATTGAATTCGAATGCTGAACAGTGTTCTGTTGTATAGATAAGTTTAATCTATTCATACATTAATGGATGATGATACCGGTTTAATTTTTAAATTGTTCTCATGTTTCTAATGAAAATGAAAATGCCAATAAAACTAGCTTTATTCAATTGTTGTCCCAGAGTATTTTTATCAGTTGTAAATTTCTCTTTCATCTAATTCAGGGATAAAGAGTTGTGGAGAGAATTCCTTTTAAGAGGTTGATGCCTTTGAATACATCATAGACTTCCAAAAGAAAAGACAAATCTGATTTGGAGGAAGTGCCTTAAAGACAAGGATGGTAAAGCTTAATCTCACAGATTTGGGCATGTTATCAGGAGGAGGTATGTTTTAGGATATTATTATACATAGGTGCAACATAGGGCCCATTCCTGTTATTTGCACTAGGTATGTTTTTAAAATTGCTACAAATACTAAATGAACAAATAGTGAACCTAATCATCATAATAATGCATCAATATAAATTCATAATTCTAACAGATATACCATATTAGTACAGGATATGAATTAAGAGGGAAACTGTGTGCATGGAGGAGAATATATGAGAACTTTGTGTATTTTCGACACAATCTTTGAAACTTTAAAGTGTTCTAAAAAATAGTGTATTTAAAAAAATAAAACGTGTATCCAACTTGGCAAAGAGGAGGTAAAATTATCTCTCTATGCAGATGATATGATAGTACACTTAGAAAACCCAAGATTCAGCAAGAAAACTACTGGACATAGTAGACCAATTCAGAAAAAGGGACAGGATACAAGATCAACATAGAAAAATTAACTGAATTTCTCTACAGTGAAAAAGAGACTATAGAACTGCAGCTAAGAAAAGTAATACCCATCACAATAGCTACTCACAAGATTAAATACTTGGGAGTAAACCTAACAAGAAACACAAAAGACTAATTTAAAGAAAATTACAAAACATTACTATAAGAAAAACAAAATGAGACATGGAGAAATGGAAGAGTATCCCTTGCTCATGGATACGAAGGCTCAATATTATGAAAATGACAATACTACCAAAGGCAATTTATATGTTCAATACAATCCTAATACAAACACCAATCCCATTCTAAAACGAGATGGAAAAGGCAATCTTCATTTTCACTTGGATGGAAAGAGACCCTGAATTAGCAAAGCGCTCCTTAAATGGAGAAACAAGGTAGGAGGCATCTCACTCCGATTTAAAATCCTACTACACTGCTGTGGTGGTCAAGACAGCGTGATACTGGTACAATAACAGACACACAGATCAATGGACTAGAATTGAGAACCCAGAAATCAGCCCTCCTACCTATGCTCAACTGATCTTTGACAAGGAGATGAAATCAGTTAAGTGAGGAAATGACAGTCCTTTTAACAAATGGTATTGGCAGAAATGGAAAACCATCTGCAGAAAACTCAAACAAGGCCCATACCTCACACCATACACAAAAACCAACTCAAAATGGATCAAGGACCTAGGACTAAGACCAAGGACTATACACTTCATTAGAGAAAAGCTTGGAAGTACCCTAGAAGCACTAATCCACAACTTGAGTAGTCTTCCAAGCATTCTGAAAAACTTACAAACAGAAGAGGATAAAACAGATGAATGGGACCTTCCAAGAATCAAATCTCTATGTACATCCAAAAACTTCCCCAAAAGGTTAAAAAGGGAAGCCATAGACTGGGCAAAATATATGGTAATGACATGTCAGATAAGGGATATCTATCTAGAATTAACAGAATACTCAAGTACCACAACAAAATAAAGGCAAACAACACAAATGCAAAATGGGCACAGGATATGGATACCTACTTCACTGAAGACGATATTCAGATGGTGAACAAACACATGAAGAAATGTTCAAAATCACTAGCTCTAAGAGAGATGCAGATCAAAACAACTATGAGATACCATCTCACCCCAGTAAAAATAGCAAAATTTAACAGAGCAGCAAGCAACAAATGCTGGCGAAGTTGTGAAGAGACTGGAACCCTTATTCGGTGGGAATGTAAAATGGTCCAACCACTGTGGAACGCGGTGTGGCACTTTCTCAGAAAGTTGCAAACAGAGACACCACTTGACCCAGCAATTCCACTATTGGGAATATACCCCAAAGAGATCATAACTGCCACCCAAGCAGATATATGCACACCCATGTTTACTGCTGCTTTTTCACAATAGCAGAGTTGGAAACAGCCCATGTGCCCATCAACAAACGAATGGATAGAGAAACTGTGATATATTCACACAACGGAGTATTATATAGCACTGAAAAATAAAGAACTTATGAAATATTACACAAAATGTGACCATGAAGGACATTATGCTGAGTGAACTATCTATCTCAGTCACAAAAGGACAAATATTGTATAATGCCATTGTAATAAAAGAGGACCAATATGGGGGTTGTGGGAAAACTAAGAAAAGAGTGGATAAATAATGTACATGGCACTAAAACAGACAAGGGAGAGAACTGTACAAAAGGAACATATAATTAGGTATTACTGGCATGATAAGAGTCCAGAATAAGAATTGCATAGTAAAGTGGTTTTGGGGGGAGGTGACAGTATAACAATAAAAGAACTTTTTTTCTAAAGAAAAAAACAAACTGGAGGAGGGAGGGGGCCAGGGAGGAAAATGTGCGACAATGAATGAATGGAAAAAAAAGAATTATGTTCAAACCTGTTAATAGCAAATAAAGTATATATTTTCTAAAAAAAAAAAAAAAAAAAAAAGCAGCAACACTAAAGAGCAAAACAAATCCGGAATGACTGCTAAGTAGAGGAAATCCAGGGTTTCTGTGACACTCCTTTTCCAGGGACCTGTGAAACGCAGGTCACAATATTTAGTCAACCAATCAATAAACTTGCTTTTTAGTGCTGCTGCTTAAAGATATTTGTTTACCATACACTGTTGATTAATTAGTAGTGGATTCATGGTCAAAAGCATTTTAACTTATACCTAAAGAAAATTTAACTAATATATTTTCTCGGTATGGCACATGATAGCTTTTTTATGATCAAGAATTTTAGACTGCAACTCTGCAGTGCATCTGAGGACTATTTTAAAAAGCAAAATTAATCACAAAAAGAACAAAAATATGGAAAATGTAGAACTAAAAAGATACAACTATGAGAGCTGAAACAAGAAGGCACTGTAATGTTCTGCTTATAGATTCGGCTGGTATGTGAGCTTTGGGCAAATAAGTGTCTACTCTGCACTTAATTGAATGACTAGGAAAGCCACTTGAGTACTGATTTTGGAATTATAAGTAACTTTTACCGAGTAAGTGAATTCATAAATATAAAATCTGTTAATAATGAAGACTGCATGCCTACAACTATAGAACAAATGATGGGGAAAGGGTAGCTTAATAATACTTGGTTTATTTCATCTGCAGTAGTAGTAGTATTAATTTTAAATAGTTGTGATAAGCCAAATAAAAAAATCAAAGGCAGACTGCCTTCCACGTTCGCAGTGGCTCTAGGACGAGGACATTGTAGAGTTGTCCCACGGCATTTCTAGGGCTGGAAATCTCCACAGAGAGCCGCATCTTTCTCCATGGAACAGCTAGTGGGTTTGAATCAATGACCTTTTATCAGTAGCTGAGCACTTTTGCTACGAGCTAAAGATGCATATAATTCCGTTTATAAGATACACAAAAAACACATATTCAATGGTATATAAATCTCAAAAGGCCCCCCTAGAAAAAGAAATTTTAAAAAATCAAGAGAGAGTAAAGTAGAATTCCAAAAAAGTTCAAATACTAAAAAAGAAGTCAAGAATGGACACCTTCACAAGAAATAAGTTACAGGTAAAAGGGCATAATCAGATCCAACCATGTCAATGTTATATTAAATGTAAAGGAACTACACACGTCAAGAAATAGGTAGATTATAAGACTGGATACAAAAAAGCAAACTCCAATGATAGAGCCTATATAAAAGACATATTTTTAAAGTTACAAGTATGATGGAAAAAGAGTATATTCTTTAAAGTTTCATCAAAAGAATGGTAAAGTCATTGTAAGTGTTGTTGATTGTTGTCAAGTCGAGCACGACTCATAGTGACCCTATGAACAAAAGGCCTGAAGACTTTACATTACTGTCATTTATTAAAGTTCAGTTTCCAGAGGCATGCTGTTTATGAAGTGGATGCCATTCCTGTTATATAAAACATATTTTAAGAAAATAAACTGCATTAGAGACAAAGGACATTTCATAATGATAAAAGAAAGAAGAAATCTTAAATATGTATGTGCCTAATAAGTATTTTCACAATGGAAAGAATTATGATAATTCATAAACAGAAAAAATGGACAAATAAAGATGAAGATCAAAAGAACACTATCAATTACTCTGATGTAACTTCCTTTATAGACACTTAAAAATTATTTATCTGGGGTGAAAAAGGACAAAACAAAACAGGGATATTAGTTATATTCACTATGCTTTACAACTATGACCATAATCTCATTCCAAAGCTTTTCATCACCCTAAAGAGAAATGTAGTACTCTGTAAGCTAGAAATTCTCAGTAACATCTGGAAGGTAAACAACTACATTCAAAAGAAGCAATGGGCCAAACAGGAAATTACAAAAAATATAAGAAAATAATTTGAACTAGGTTGTTTTTATATAGTATCATAAATTTTCTCCATGCAAACTTAAAACTGAGTTTTCTGAAGCTAACACTGATCCTGAACAAAGAGAGTTGTTATGCGGGAGAGAAAGGATGAAAAGTGATGTACCTGTGGTGAGGGCTGCTGAATGTATCCCTGCTGCTGCAGCAGAGTCTGGCTGACAGGATGGCCAGATGCAGAATAGCCAGCAGAAGGGACCGGCTGTCCAGGTGGCAGAGGCGGAGGGGGAGGAGGTGGGGGCGGGGGATGCTGGGGAGGGGCTGTTGTCACAATATAACCAGGCTGTTGCGGGGACTGGAGAACCACAGTAGACTGGAACAGGGTGGCATGAGGGTCGGGACCATCAGCAGGGAGCTGGCGGGCAAGATTCATGTGGCTAAACTGAGATCCGAGGTTATCCTGTTAAAAAAAAAAAGAAAAAAGGAAAGGAAATTAGTAAGCCTTTTCTATACAATACAAATCTATCAAGAAGAAACACTTAATCTATAATAGATAAGCTTTAAAGAAGAGCTTTAAGAAAATGAGAGAACACTACAGAAGCAAGTCTACAATGATGTTATTTTAAAATATTGTCCAGATGGAAATGTATAGCATTCAAAAAGTAGGATTTAACAGCATTTGACATTAAAAAAATGAAAAAGGCACTTATTTAAATGGCAACTAAAGGCACATTGTAACACGAGAATGTGGAAGTAAAACTGGACATTTTTCTAGTATATAATTAACATTTTCTGAAAGAATATCAAAGACAAGGCAATGAGTAAAGAAGTACTTAATTATTTTTACTTTAAATCATCTATCTCTCACTAATACTGAGATTGTCCTCATCTCCCCTCTCTGATCACAATCAGACTGACTTCATAAATGAAATACATAAAATCTCCCTAACCTTGTCCTCTGTAGAAACGTTCAAAAATAAATAGGCCCTAAGTGCTTAACATCTAGTGTTTTTCTCTTTCTAAGGTCTGATGATTCTAGACAACTGTAACATAAAAGGTTACATGGTAGGCAGCCAATGGCTCCCAGCCAAGATGGGGTTATGAGTTATGCCACCTGGAAATGTTTCTCTGACTCACAGAACTTGACAGCTCTTTCTGGTCTAGAAAAATCAGTACAATGAGAACATAGGGGTGAGATGGAATTCCCCTGTACTCGAGGATGCCACAGAGGGCAAAGAAATATAAATATATAAATAATTTTGTTCAGAGGTTGATTTTGGGGGAAAAAAAGTGGGATTATAAAATTATGAAAATGAATTGTGAATTAAAACACACATGTCTAAAATTTTTATATGGTGATTTTTAAATGTAAATTGGGGTTATTACGAAGAAGAGATAGAAAAGGTGGAACCTAAGTTAATGACTGAAAAATACATAGTTTAACTCCTCCTACATAACTCCTCTGATGTAGTTTAGCACCATTAGCCTAACTTGACAATATCAAAAGGGAAACCTCTATTAATTGTAATTACAAAAACTACACCAACTAGTTGTAAATATAAAGTCCAAATGTTTATAAAAGAACACCACAATAACATTTTTAAGAATAATTTTGGAAAGTTTTTTCCAAATTTGCCATTTTTCAAAATACTCAGAACACCTTTTTGTTTTTCTGGACAATGTTTATAATCTCAATGCTGGCAAAATTTCATTTGTATTTTTTTTATTTAGGTTGAAAATGACTACTGAAAATTATTCAGAGCCAAGGATGGTAAATTAGGTTTGCCTCCCCTTAAAACAAAAAACTCCTAAAATATAAAATGTTTCTAAAAAGTTTAAAAAATAGTTTTCAGATACATGTGTTTTGATATCCTAAGTTAAGTGAATGTATGTAGAAGGTCATAAAGCCAACACATGGATGAGACCTGCTGAGGCAGAACCCAGGGCATACTCTGTATTAAAGAAAGTACCATAATCTTTCAGTCAAATTAAATAGCTAGAGCTTGTGTTTGGGAACAGCCTTGAGAGAAGGTCCTCTGCATTTGTAAGCTCCAATTTATCCTAATAACTTGTACTAAGTCTAGTGGACCAATGTGTAGGGAGACACCACCACCTCTGGTGGAAATCTTGTCTCCTAGGATTGCACAAAGCATCAATGAGGAAAAAAGCTAACGTATCTCAGAGCTAGAAAAGCTGAACAACATTTCAACAGGAAAAAGAAAAAAGGGCAAGAAAAGGTTGGATTTACATAACCACATAATAAGGTATTATGGTATATTTTTTAAGTACTTAGTTACTTTTTAAATTTTATTATTTGTATGTGTGTGTACTGTCAAATCCCATCTGACTGGTACAAGAGGATATTGTCCCTCCTCCAGCACAGCATCTGGTGGATTCGAACCATGCACCTCTGGAATTGCAGTGTGGCTTCTTGCCACTAGGCCATCAGAGCTCCCTTATGGTAAGTACTTTATGAAGCAGAATAAACAAATTTATTCCTACTGTGGGCTAAAAATGGTTTTTTTAAAGTATGTATGTATTTCTGACTTAAAACTAAACAGAGCCAAACCAACCAACCATTAAACATCATATAAATGAAATCCATTCATCAACATTCATCATGCATTTGTCACAGCAAAACACAGGAGGTGAATAGAGATGTAGTACCACGGAGTATTGCTGAGTGGGTGAGACTGGCAGCAGCGGGGATGGGTAAGGGGCTGTTGAGTACTGAATGGGCTGTGAAGAGGACTGTAGAGGTCGAATAGGCTAAGGAATAACAGGTGGGCAAACAACGTTAGAATACAATGTTAGAAGAATTGCATAAAAACTTTTTGGCAACAAAGCTACTTTTGGGAGGAAAAAACATCCAAACAACCTTTGTTTTTTTGGAAAGGTACACATCAAAATTTTTTTAGCAACCACTTCAACTACATTTGCAAAGTCATTTTATAAACAATATAGAAAACATTAAAAATAATACTACATTAATAAACTATACAGTGGAAATCTTGATAATATATACATGTCTGTATTTAAAATAATGTTTGTAATAAAGATACTTCTTCATTATAGCTGTTATTTCAAGATATAAGCAAGACTCAAAAGGGCTATTTAGCTAAATAACAGTAAAATATAAAGAAAAACTCACCCCGATACCCAGAGAGAGTAAGAACTCACATATGATCTATGCCAGTTATTCTCTTGATATGATAAAACATAATTAAACATTCTTTGGGAACCAAAGTTTCTAAATTTTATAAGAAAAATTTTCTCCAAGTATCATTATGAGTAACTGCGTAAGAATCAAAACACACACACACACACACACACACACACATACACACGAACATAACTGTTTATACAGAAAAAAGAAATACATTTTTCTTGTTAACTAAACTAAAAGTAATATCAGGAGCTTAAAAACTGGTTACTTGCATTTTCTGGCAGTGAAAATGCAATGAAATACTTGTGTATTTATAAGTTATACTCTCTGGGGGACTCAAAACCCAAGTGTCTTAAAGTTTTGATCATTTCTAAATCCTGGGGACTCAGGCAGGTCATCCATAGGGTAGCACTGACATGTGACTTAGTTTCTCAATATTCTATAGTGTTGTACTACAATATACATATTGGCTTAAACATGCTCAGACATCACTTTAGACATGACAGAATGAGGAAACAAATGACCTGCAGACAGTCATATGAAAAAAGCAGTAGAGGAACCAGGCAATCAATAAAAAAGCTTCTGTCAGGATAAAATGTACAATTGTGATTCTCCTTCTGGATTGTATCGCCAAGATAATGCAGTAAAAATGCAAAATAGCCCAGATTGTTAGAATGAAAGTAAATGCACTAAATAAATGGGAAAGATAGATAACACAAGCACACATTCTAAGGGATGACGGCCTGCCTGGATCACACTAAACGAGGACAGCAGCTTTAGGATTGGTAGACTAGCTACTACTACCCACCAGGGTTGAATGAAATCAGATTCATGGCAACCTCACAGGATAGAGTGTAACTGTCCCCTAGCATTTTGTAGGATACAAATTTTTCCATGGCAATTAACTGCTACATTTTTCTTCTACAGGTAGAATGTCTGAATTGCTTGACTTTTTTGGTTATTAACTAAGTGGTTAACCAACAAATCACCAGATTTAATGTTATTAAAGCAGTCAACCATTAGGACATAACTTTGTTCAAAATAACTTGACATATAATGTAAAATTTCTTATAACCTTTATACTCTTTACTCTGCTGGAGGATAAATGAACTGGCACGGCAATGTCAAAGGCACAAAGTTCAAATCCATCAGCTGCTCCATGAGAGGAGGATAAGTAATCTTTTGCACAATTTAAATTTATTCCCTCTAAAAACTTGATGGAGAGTCATCTATGAATTGGTTCCAACTACACAGCACAGAACAACAACAAAGTGTCATGCGGTAACCTGGAAACTGAACAGAAAATGAATTAAAATTCTGAAAAGCCACTTAAAAATGATAATGTCTTTTTCTTATGACTGTCTCAAAACAAAGTTCATCCAAAGCAGTTAGATTCATATTGTGACTATGTTAAAAAAATTTGTAACTCAAGTGAATGCTGTGCAAATTATAGCACTATTTTGTCTGAACTTTCATGAATGAATAATTTCAGAGTCTATAAAAGTATCATTTGTTTATAGTTTTCTGTTTCTGATTATGGATATTCCAAAACTTTGAGCAACACAGAAAACAGTGATGGAGTCTGATGCATATCCCAAGATTTCCAATTTTAGTTTTCCTAAGGCATCTGTTTCACTAACTACAAATTCATTTAGAATTGTTGCATAAGTGAGTTATCACAAAGAGGGGGAAAATGTACCTAATAATGAAAAATGTTTTCTGAGAGAATATCTAAAAATACACAATCATAAATTAACATTACTTCCATCAAAACTTATTTCTAGAAAGAATCTATAATCAGAAAGGTAGATAATTTTATGAAAAGTATGTGGAATATTTAATACTACAAAAAAGTGGTAAAACTACATAACTAAATTGTAAAGAGTTATAATACTTTCAAAAGTTAGAATGAAAGTAAATGAGATTACACGGGGATAACCAAGTTCTCCAAGAATGGACCACAAATCCTTAGGGAAAAGCCTAAATGTGAAAATGTAGGTCAAACCCAGAATGCTTACATAAATTCAAGATCCTATTAAGAATGCTTTTGGGAATTCAAATTTTCATAATTTCTTTGCTTCCATCTCTCATAGGGTGATGGGAGAGAGAACTCTGTAGAAATTGGGAATGTACTTCACATTCTCCTGATTCCCTGATCTGCTATATACTGAAACTCACTTAGTTCACTGGGTCACAGGAAAAAAAAAAATCTTAGTTTTGTGCTTATCTCACTTATCTTATACTTCATGCTACTGTGAAACACGGATGAAATACTTATCAAACAGGCTCATGAGACAAATCTCTCCTTTCCAATATTTATTCAATACTCATTAGCTGAAAAGTCCTAGAAGTTAACTTTTCTTCTTGTGAGCAGTGAATGGGACATCATTGCTAGCAGTAGATTAAAATTCTAAGAGATACTTACTAGGACTACCTTAATTATAATTAGTCAATTTAGTCCCAAATTGTGAGCAGTGAATGGGACATCATTGCTGGCAGTAGATTAAAATTCTAAGAGATACTTACTAGGACTACCTTAATTATAATTAGTCAATTTAGTCCCAAATATGCAAAGGCAGGTGAACTTAGGTAATCGTGGATATGTGCACCTGTGAGAAAATGTGATTAGCTGTTTGTTGTTGAGGTGCTGGAGGTGGCAGAGGTGGCTGTGGAGGTCCAGGCACTTGGGTTCTGATTGGTTGTTGAGTCAAAGGAGGATTGTACACAACTGGACTCCCATCAGGGTTTATGAAGGGCTGACCTGAAAGGTTAAAAAGGGAAAAAATAATTTATAACAGAGATTGAAAAGTCATTACACTAACAATTTATACAGTACAAGCCCCAAAATCTTTAATTTAAAATTCCTAGTACTCTGGAAACCCAAAAGATTTTAAGTTGAGAAGGAAAGCTTAATTTGATAAAAACTTATGAAAAGTCTTTCATTTTCAATTCAGCAGTCGTTAATTTTTAAATAAACAAAATTAAGTGTAAATATTCAAGTGACTGCCTGTGGGGTTAGACTATGTGATGTTTCTCAGACACACTGAGGTTATTTTATCATGTGCTGATCTCTGAATTTTGAAACACATTCTGCCCAAGGGATTCAGTTATACGATTGTGGCTGAATGGCATGTAATTTCACAGAACGAGAAAAGAGAAAAACAATTACTCACTCTTGGGTAGATGATGAGAAACATAAAATTTACAGGACACATAAAACATTTATATAAAACTAGGTAAAAAAATCAAAGCAACTTCAAACTTCAACAAATTTGAAGCTTGACAGCTATGTCTTTTGCCTCCAACAACTTCCAATTTCTGAAAAGCCAGAAATACTCCCCCCCCCTTTTGTTCAAGTACATCTGGTTATTGGTAAGAAACAGGAGAGTTTTACTGTTTATTAATTGCTAGGGAAGAAAGATGCCTATTTTAAGTAAAAAAACTTAGACAAATTATATACATTCTAAACAACTTTTAAAAAATTATAAAAAGTATTATATTTTATTGTAGAAAATACTGCAAACAAAAATTAATAAATCACCTATAATTTTTAATTTTATTCATAACATTATGCTTATTTTCCTGAACTCTTTTCAATGCAAATATTGATTACAAGATTACAATTTTTATAAATCAGGTAACTAAAAAAAGAAAAAGACAACACTGAAATAAGCAGTCCATTGATTATGATACTTATTTAAATGACAAAATGCATGGGAACAAAATGTAATTGCTATTTCTTCTAGTGCCTCCAGAACACTCTTTTTGCCATGATAAACCCTTTTCCACTTCCCCCACCCTCCAAAAAAATTATGAAATGCATAACATGCATTAGGGAAATACTAGAAAGGGAAGAGCATATTGCTGTTATCAGGTGCTATAGAGTTAATTTAAGATTCAATGAGTAGAACAGCTCCACAGTGGTTTCTAGGAAAGGAAGCCCAAAGGTACTCTTCTGCTAACTGAAAGGTTGCCAGTTCGAATTCAACAGTGGCTCCACAGGAGAAAGATGTGACATCCTGTGTCTGTAAGTATTACAGCTTTAGAAACACATGTGAGAATCACATGGGGCAGTTTTACTTTACCCTACTGGGTTGCTATGAGTGGGAATCAAGTTGATGGTAATGGCTTTAATTTGGGTTTTAGTTTTAATTGTTTGGGAGTACACTGTCAGGTCTTTCGTCCGAGTAACTTCTAAGTTAGCACTAAAGCGTCGAACTGCTGTGCCATCTTAGATCCTAAGGACTGCACTATTTTATTACAACAAGAGGGAAAGTCTTCGAAGAAAAATTACTGTTTAAATTAGTTTTTTGATAATTTGTATGATCATTATATAGAACTGAAAACAAGTCAAGCCAGGCACTTGATAATTTTTAAATTATCTGGGGATAAAGAAAAGGAGGCATAGTAAGAAGGTATAAAAAGGGTACAAAAAGTAGAAAGGTATAAAAAGAGGTATAGCAGAAAGCAGAGTTAAATGGATTTTAAAAGGCTACTTGAAAAAAAGTTATCTATATATAATAAAGGGTAGCTGCTGTGTTGCAGGGACTGGGCTAATGAAAAGAGGCATGTGAATTTATCAGCTACTATACAGAGTAAAGACAAGGCACATGGCTCTGGTGAAGCTCTGTTGCTTTGGAAACCCTACAGGGCAGCTGGACTATGTCTTCTGGGATGTTACAAGCTGGAATCAACTCCACCACAGTGCGTTTGGTTTGAAGCTATGATAGTGTTTAAAAAAAACCCCAAAACCCCCCAAAAACCCAAAACCACAACAAAAAAAACCAAACCCAACTAAAAAAAAACCCACCTCAAAACCAATCAAAACCCTCAAAAACCAGAGTTCACTTTGGGTTCACTGGAAATTAAGAAAACAATTCAATTTAACATTAATCTCTCCATTACCTTCTACTCACCTGTCTTTTATGTTTAAGGAATTAATAAAAAAATTTTTTTTAAATAGTAGGAAATATAAGAATAAGTTAATTACTCATATATTGTTCCCTAAAAAGTGAAAGTTTCTTAACAAAAGTTAAGAAGAAGACTTATTAAGCAAAAACTGGATTGATATCCGGGGATGGAAGGAGATGACCTCACAAAAACTCTCCAGTGATTTATTCTGATTCCTAGATAGAAACAAATATTTAAATATTTTATCTTTAAAAAAGGACATGAGACTGAAACCTGAAGACAATGAGCTACAAGATACGGTTTTCTCAACTACAAACAAACAAACAACAACAACAACAAAAAAGTTCTGAGACCTTGGTATCCCCCACCTTTATTTATACTGTATCCAACTTCTGCCATTGTGGAACTTTAGGTATCTTCCATCAGGTAACTTTAGATGTTTTTGTCTTTAATGAAGTCACACAGTATTTAAAGCTGCTATCTTACAAAATGGTATTTTGAATATAGATTAAAATTTCTTAGAATTTTTAAAAAAGATCATGCTGTCTCTAACATGAGACAACAAGAAAAAAAATTTCATCTATATAGTGGAATATCTCTCTTTAATTTCCTTATTTGTAAAATGGAGAGTTCACACACTGAAAGGGTAGTTATAATGATTATAAATAAAATACTTAAAGCACACCATTTTTGTTCCATAAATATAATTATTAGCTAACTGAAGAATTAAGAATGCATTATCAATACCAATCATTAATGACTATCTCCTTATTTAGAATATGTTCTTTAGTTTTCCCCTATACTCTGATGGGAATTAATAATAGTTCTTTTCTTATTTTATTATATAATGACAACCAAAAATTTCTTAAGGTATGTATTATTTTCCCTAGGACAAAATCATTTCATCAAATAGGTTTGTTGAATTCAAATAAAGCTCTTTCAAAGTTTGTATCTTATAAACTTTTAAAGTTTATATCTTGTATCTTAAAAATAAGTTGATCAAAACTCAGCCATGAATTACATGGCCTACAAGAAGTAGTCAAAGCGGATTATGGTGGTAGTTGTGTGCTGTTCTGACCCTCCAGCAGAGGCAGTAAATCACAGGAGAGGAGACTGCCCATCATTCACAGCAGCTGGTGAATTTGCACTGCTTAACTTTGGCTTTATAGTGCAGTATCTTACATTAGGCCAAATATGTCTTTGAAAATTTTCTGGAGTGTTATCATTAATGTTCTAGGGAAAATGCTTATTATTCATAAAAAAGAATAAGCTGACAATGCATATACAGACAATACACTTCGTAAGTATCTTTAATTTTCAGCTAACTTCTGATTTCTCAAGTGAAAAAAGGCACCTTTTGGATACCAACCTGTTTGTGGGTTGATCAGAATACTGCCAGGTGGTATGCCTGCTGCTTCCAAGGGAAGCAAAAAGAAGCTAGTGCTAGGAGAGGCGACTTGCCCATTTAGGCCACCGTCAAAGGAAAGAGAACTATGAGTGCTGACAGTTGGATAGACGACAGGTGCGCCATGAGAAGACTGGCTGAGAGCTGTACCTGGAAGAGGCTGCTGGATGTGAGAGAGAGAGCCCGTAGATGACCCTACACTACCAGAAGACTCAGAACCTAGGAAGGAGGAATGAAAAATGGAATTTTTTAAACCTCACATAACAAGGCAGATTTTAAAAATATAAACTGTTAATTTCACATTGCATAACATGCAGTTACCACATAAAAGCATTGGCTCCTTTTGATTTACTGCGCATTTTTACCTCCCGTCTCCCCCGTGAGCAAAGAGAATACAGCACACTCATCACATAGGTGTCAGAGAACTCACAAGCAAAGCGTGCAATGTGAGCAACTTTATCATAACGAGCCACAGATGACCACAAAAAGCACAACTACCCGTGTTCCCAAAAGGACAAAGTTGTATCCATTTTACCTGTTCAATTTACCTAGGAAAATACAGATTACAATTTTCCCCATGGAGTAAGAATTTAGCACATCCAAATGCCATAACCTCTTATATCAGAAACCCCTTATCTATATAACAACACAGAGAGATTAAGAGCAGTATAGAAAAGAACAAAAGTGATAAATTCTCTATTAAGAAAAACTATTGAGTGCAGGATTCCTTTTTTTCAGCTAATAACAATAGGATCTTTCTATAGTGTAAAGTCAACTTTCAATTTTTTATCATATTAGGGGTTAGAGATAGCAAGGAAGCTATTCCATTATTTATATTAGGGGTTAGAGATAGCACGGAAGATAGCCCATTATTTATATTAGCAGTAGCTCAAAATTTGTTTTGTACTGTGCTTAATAAAGTTAATTACATAAATTTTCACTAATTTTATATTGAAATCTCTTTTATATTCTGTCAAAGATTGAAAATTGTCTTTGATTTCCAGCACAGTGGTTAAGGGTGGAAAATGGAAAATAGAAGAAGCTATGGATGATTTAGTTTCTGAATAACTGGGGTGATGCTGGGATGGAGAATTATTTGTTAGTGACAGAAAGAAAAAAAGGTGATACACTCTAAAAACCGCATTCTGAAGAAAAATTTCTACTTTACGTTGTGCCAAAAAGACTAATGAGAGTAACTTTATCAACTTATTGTAAATATTTAAAAATTATTTTATTCCCATTAAAAGGAGGGTTAAATAGTACTTTTCCATTCCTGAAGATATTACAGAGTATAAGTTAATAGTAAATGTTTTCAACATGCTTTAAATCAGCAATGTGTCCAAATGATGTTCTCATGCTGAGTGGCTAGTTATTTACTGGGTGATGTAGAAAGACCAAGTTGCCATTTTTAGTTAAGACATTTGTACTCAAGTATTCTTATATTCAGATAATTTACCTACTTGGTATATATGCAGAATTCTTATATTCAGAAAATTCAGCTATTCGTAACAATATCTTACCAAGTACATTGAGACATTTTTTTTTATATCTATGGTTCAAATTAAGACTGGTAACCACAATTAACCAGCCTTAAAAATGTAAAGCACTGACATCCATGAAATGTACTGATACAGTGACTGAGGTAATGAGGTTAGGTGTGTTGGAGACAATAAAGTTAGCACAGGACAGAGCAGGTTTCAGGGTTGTTGTACATAAGGTTGCTATGAGTTGCAAGCGACTCAACGGCACATAACAACATCACCAATATTCAGGTTGTCACCTTTAAATATAAATCTCTAGTTTCAACACTTATTTTTAAAATACCAGAGTCTAGGTTAACCGAAACAGGCTAACTAGAGAGAGCCATCTTTGATGACTTTCATAGTTATCGTGGAGAAAAAGAAAGATGTGCAGTGACCCTAAGATTGAGTAAGGTTGCATAGCTTTGATGCCAGTAAGTGGAAGCACTGAAACCAATTAATTAAAGAAAAATGCTATGGGCCTATTGAGGATATTATTGAAATTTCTAGTAATGTATAATAATTACAGCATGAGTTTTTTTTTCTTTTAAAGTTCCTCAAATATTCCACTGCAGCTTTACAGATTTTTCAAAATTACAAAGATTTCTTTCTCAAATACAAGCACTATTCAATAGTATTAATTGTTAAATAGATTAAAAATTATTAGTGAGAAACCCAGTCATTAAGAATTTCCTAGTATCAATGGATACTATGATATTTTGTTCAACCAGCCCAATAAAGATTATGTCACAATAGAAGAATTTTTATATTAAGTAGTGTTTACAATTTTTCCTCCAGAACAGAGAATGAATCTAAAGGGCCAATAAATATATTATCCATTAAGTAGAGGTGCTCAATGTAGTACTGAAAGGGATTTTCTCTTTTAAAATAATTAGAAATCATACAATTTAAAAAAAAAAAAAAAGCAAGCACTACAACTTGAGCACTAAGAAAACTGGTGGTTTGAGTGTACAGTTCTAGGCAGATACTGATACCTGTTTTGGAAAGCCTGCCTATGCTCTTGCTGCTTCCAGAACTATCGCCTCTCGTGAGGACCGAGATTCCACTGAAGCTGCTGGCTTTGGTAACAGCCGGCTTCAGGTTGCGCAGGGAGCTGTCAGAGTCTGTGCTGCTCCAGGGTCGTGGCTCAGAGTACTTCAGATCATTCTCGGTGCTGCTTTGATGGCTATTTGTTGATCTCCCAGAAGCATCTTTATTAACTCTGTAATTTAGAAATACAACACTGAAAAGCTAACAGGGACAGGAGGAAAAAAGAATAAAGAAGAAATGCTTTAATGTTTCAATATGGTGTTGAAAACATGCTTCTAATACCTAAATATCTGGCGCCTCTGCTGAGTACTACTAGCATCATCGTCATGGATTCTGTTGACATTTTAATAAGACATTTTTATTTTGTTAGCGTCAGTCAGGTAGTTATTAAAACATATGTTAAAAATCTCCTTACCTTCTGTCAAGAATATAACTCTCTTGGGAACACAAGGACTAGAAGAAAAAAAGAAAGCAGATACAAGTCGAGCTTTTGTCAACTATGTAATGTTAACCGTACAGCACTGACAAAACCCCCAAGACTTATATAATATGAAAAGCATTCCCCTTCCCCCCTAAAAAATATCCAAATTGATGATAACACACAAATACATGATAATTTCGGTTAGAAATTATGCTTACTGTGAACAGGCAAACATCTCAAAGCTATTCATTTTGTGGTCTAAATTAATTGGGAAATTAAAACAATTTCTTCTAAACAAGTGAATTCAATTAAATGATCATATGTCAAAGTTCTACACCAGCCTGCAGATTCTGTCATTCATTCAACAAACACCTGGTCACTGCTCATTGGTGCCTTATAGCTGTGGACATGACAGTGAAAAAGCAGTTATACTTTAATGGAGCTAACAGTCAAACTTCCTCTAGGGCTATTAAACTAGGCCAAGCAACCATTATTTTCTTAAGATTATGGAAAACAGTCTTCCACCTAGCGAACCAGCTCATTTCCTTTGATCTCAATCTAATCCTGCCCCTCTGTCATGCATAATGCAATGTGCTAGGACAGGGATCTGACAGCTATGTTCTTACAAATCAAGTCTGGAATACAGCAATTGGGCAGAGTTTTGTTCTGCTGGACTTGGGAGTACTGTAAGTTAGAGCATGACCAGACCCAACAACAATGGCTGCTTTCCCACTAAAAGAGTAGTAGAGCAGGGTAACTGCAATAGAGTTAGCAGGGTATGTTCAAGTATTTACTATCTACTTTCTTCACAGAAACAACTTATCAACACTAGCTCTAGCAAAAACGCTAGTCACCTTACCTGGCTTTTAGAGAAGAGCCAGCTGGTCCCTGATTACACCTCCAATCACTTACTGCACCACCCAAAGGAGAACCCAGCGCCTTTATCTGTCAGTTCTCTTATGTGCCAAGCTCCCCATTATCTCTGGGTCTCCACAGACACTGGCCTTCCTTCTATTGGGAAGCCTTCACTCCACTAAGCCTTGCTTAGGAACCTAGCTCTTCAAGCCAATTCTGCATCACTTCTCTGTTATGTACCATACTATTCCTTCATGTTTCCATCATTAGAAATGTCACAGAATATACTGTCATCACCTGGCTATTTATCAAGAGCAGAAATTTTACCTAGTCTACAAACTAGTGACAGAAAGAAATAATAATCTAAACAAATCAATTATTTTAAAAGAAATTATTAAGTATAGCCCACTAACAAGCAAGTTTCAGAGTTTATGCATTTGTAGACAGTGACCAATGGTCTAAAACTTCAGTTTGGAAGAATGAATGGAAATGAGAGTTAAAGAAAGGAATGGAAACAAACAAAAGCATACTGTGGGTGTTGTAACAAACATGTCAGAAAAAAAAGTGTTTGAACAGAGCATTAATTTGCTTTGTAAATTACTCAAATCACAATTAAAAACCATGGATTATTAAGATTGACTAGAAAACAAGTCAAATCCTGTATCTTAAGTTTGTAAAAAAATCTCTCAAAACAAAAAATCCAAACCAGAATATATGTGCACTCCAATATTCTTTCAATGATCCTCTGTAGTCTTAAATTCAATATTGTAACATTTTAGATACTTGTTGTCATGCCAAATTTGGTAATCTACTCAAGTATTAATCTAAGCAAGACAAATACCAGTATTTCTTAAACATTGTAAATAAAACTATGGTTAAACAGAAGTGTGATGAACTGACTTAGAGGGAGTGACACACTGCAAATCAATTAGCATAAATTTTACTACTAAAACGGAAACATAATTTAGTACATACATCTTGGGAAAATATTCGGTCTCTAGCTCTCTGGTACTCTTCTTCTCTTTCTTCTATAGATTTGCTTCTTCTGTCATCTTTTAATCGTATTCTCATCTAAAGAAAAGAAAACAATCAAATGCAGGGAAAAGAATTACAAGGATAGTCCTGCATCTATAAAATGATGTTTGCTCTGGGTTACCTGGTTATCATCTTTGTCAAAGCTAGAGTTATCTCTCTTGAGGATATATCGTTTCTGAAAATCTTCACCTTTATCATCCTTAATATGTTCATTAAATTTCTGATCAGGTCTAAAATGCCCAAAGGAACAAAACAAAACAAAAGTAATATTCAGTATTTATAGGAAATGTAAACACAAGTTACCTGTTCTAAAAATTAATACCGATTACCAATTGTTAGTGTCATTAATAGACAATTACTTCTCACAGTGTATAAACAAGTGATAGGGCTGTTCACTTAACTACCAGTTTTTTGAGGCACCATCAAAAATAGTGTGGGGTCTTGTGTTAATTTGCTTTAGTTAACAAAAATCCAGTTTTACTACCTATTTGTTGTGAGCCTTACACTAATTTTTCAAGTCTCCAGTTTCCTCATGTATTAGAATGCTAAATGTATCAAACTAATAGGGTTGTTCTGAAGATGAAATAAATCAATTAATGTACAACACTCAGGACAGTAAACACTCCACTGAAGGTTGTCACTAAAATTAATATGAGGACAATTTAGTTTCTAGAAGCTTAAGTAATGTTGCAAAGTCACAGGGCAAGACTGAGTTGTGGGAACCCAGGCTCCTAAGACTCAAAGCCTCTTCCTATTGTGTCCTCTAAATCTCAAAATAAGGATAAAAAAAGTACTGTATATATATGTGTGTGCATATATATAAAAATAGAGACACAGAGAATATGTTTTGTGGTTTGTTTTTGTTTGTTTGTTTGGAGATATGTAAAGGAAAGTAATAAAATATTTTGTGGCTGAATGAAATAAAAACTTATTAGTTCTAAGAGCATGCAAGTTACCAATAATTTTTTGTTATAGCAGGGTATAGTTTTGTTCTATATTAAATTAAATAGGTTAGAAAAGATAAATTCTTTTTTTGGTGACTAAAATTGTGATATAAAGTACTTATTGTGAAAGAATAGTAACAGTTTAAAGCTGATTGGTCTTCTATGCTGTAATTGCACCAAAATCCAAAGACAGATATAAAACTATAACCCTTGAGATAATGTAATTATATAAAATTTTACCTCCTAAAATATATTCTCAGTTTCAACAAATTCATTCATTCAACTTTTGTATAACTTAGTTACATCCTATTGTAATATCTAATTATTTTTCTGAAACATGTATAAAAAATATTTAGAGGCTATAAAGAAAGTTGACTTGAACTCCTGGTATATTACTTATTTTTTTAACATATGCCTCAAATATATGTCTATCTTAAGTATATTTCAGAATCAAATTAACTGGAGTAATAACATTTTAAGCAAACTAAAGACCAGATTATTTATTGAAATAGTTTTCAAGTCTTACTTTTGAATATTTAAACTAGTGAATTTTTAATAAAGTACTGTATCTATTTCCTGTTAAATTATGCAAATTGAGATTTATGTAAGCTTTAACTAAAGAAGTCTCTCCTTCAAAACAGATCAGTGAAACAGAGCAGATCTCTATAAAGTATTGTCTAGAAATAAAGGAGAGAGTGGGTTAAAAAGTTAAATGAGTTTTGTGACCAAACTGATAAGATCACTTTGTTTGGGAGTTAAAAAAAAAAACCCAACCATCTCTTTAGTTCTGATAATGGCAGTGATTAGTTATTTTATGTTGCACTATTAGCCAACTTATGTGCATCAACCATTTCTGTTTCTGTTCAACTCATATTTTCTGATTTAAGGAGTTTTCTATTTAGGCAAGAGTTCATGTTACTGCAAAGAACTCTCCAGCTTAATAATCAGCCTGGCAACCTTTCTATGAGCAGCTGGATTCCCACACCAAAAGGCATTAGCAGGCATTTCAGCTAACCTTAAGACTGTCTTACCTCTTTCTTTTATAGATGCCTGAATTTACTGCCCTGCAATCACCAACTCCCCGCTCCACTGAGACAGCCTAGTGGACACCGGGTTGTTGACATCCACAACACCACTGGTTCAAGGCTGGAGCGGGTAATCTGCCTATGAGGAAAAGGCAAGTTTGTTTTTATTCAATGTGGAGCAGATCTCTAAGGTTTTCTGAGTTACAATCTTCTTTATATCCCAGAAGATATAAAATAAGAACACAGTGTAACTTCAATGATCTGAAAGGTCAGTTTTAATTATACTGTAGGCCATAATTTGTTATACACGTCGGTCATCTCTTATTAGCAAAACATCTGATACTTTAATAAGGAGAATCCTAAAACCTTCCAAAACCATTTAAAGCATTCAAATTACTGATGTTACACTGTATTGAAAACCTTAGAGTCACCAGTCTAAATGTCAGTCAAAATGCCTGCTAATCGACAAGTGTTTGGGGATCCAGCAGCTTTGAGCTTGTTAAAAGGCACTGATTAAATGAATGAACTTCTATTTATTCACCTTCAGTTCAGTTCACATCTTAACAATCACTCCGGCTAAGTCAGCTATGATACAATTAATGTGTGACAAAGCCACAGTAACTAATGGCTAATACTAAGTATATTTTTAAAAGAAAGCAAATTCTCATTTTCAGGTAACGTTTAATCCCTCAAGAAAGATCTCTTGACAAGAATTTACCTACATTAATTTTAGTTGTAGGAACAATGTATTTATTTGATTGATAAGACAATAAGTGAAAGGATAAAAATCCCAAATTATTTCCAGCAAGTAATATGGCAAATATGATGATGAAGGCTTTTTCAACAGAGGGACTGTGTTCAAATTAAGTGGTTCACACACACATGCCCCTGAGAGATGTTTGGTTCAGGAAGACAAAGAATTCATTGAAAAGTATCAATATTAGTTTTCTCAACTAGATGATATTCCGATTAGCCTTCCAAATAAAAGGTAGTTATATATATGTCTGTCTGTCTGTCTGTGTGTGTGCATCTATTACAACTTTAGAGACTTCTGTATTAAATCTTCTGCTTCCAAATATCAGTAGCGAAGATCTATTTTTCACTAATACTATTACTTTTCTAAGGGAAAATTAATGGAAAGTTTAAATTGGCAGTTTAAATTCACCAGTTGAGAAAGATGGGCAGTTTCATTTTGTTAAGATTTCCAGCTTTGGAAACTTGAGGGTTTCTTGAGTCAGAATTGATACAATGGTATTATTTTAGGTTTTAGTTGAGCTGGTTAACTAAATGTGATAAAATCTGTCAATGCTGGTCACATTTATGTTAATTAAGAAAAACCAAAACATAAACCACTAAGAGCATCTTCACCAAACATCAATGATAGTACGTATTTTCCCTATGACTTAAAATAACAAAACAAAACAAAAACATCCATATACCACAGCCCTCATTCACTTGTCTGACGTAGTCCATGATGGTACATTTTGTCTGTGGTAAACTATGCATGTTTTGCTCCTATTATATAAAGTTTTCTCAAAGCTAATTAAGGTTGCTAAACACATTCAGTGAAAAGTGCTATAGAAAGAAGAGATGTCTACACAGATCGGTAACGTCAACCTACATCTCTTGACACTTACATCCTTGTATTGCTAGTTTTGTTTACTATGACAGACTTCCCACTCTGATCAACATTGTGGTCTAATCCAAAGTAAGCAGCTACTCTGTGTAACAGCATCCTATGGTAAGATGTCATTGGGGGAAATTTTTTACGTGGAGACCTGGAAGTAGAAGAAAATCCAATTTAGTAAGTTAAGAAGAGATGATAACTTATTTTTTTGCTGGGGGTATGACTGGGATAGGAGAATGTTAAGACTTACTCATTATTACCAATGAAATCTAAAATTTCTTGTTCCAATTTCAGCAGCATCATTCTGTCCCTGAAACAAAATATGGAAACTTTTTATATAAAAATCAACACTGAAAAAATTATCAATAACTACAGGTTATGACATATATTGCTATTATCCCCCCCCCAAAATCTCTGTATATTGAAGTCAATAATGATACTGATGCTTTAATATTTAAATGCTTCCCTAAAAAGGCCATGTTTAAAATGAGACCTTTTTATTATGGAAACTTTCACAACTTGCAAGTGTAGAGAGTACTACCCATGAGCCTCAATGTTCCTATTACACAACTCCAACTACCAGCATGTGGTCAGCCTTAGAATAGATGTGATCTGATCTATCACTTTAATGGCATCTGCTCTGTAAACATGTGGATGAGAAAAGCCTATTACTCTTTACATCTTCAAAAAAGCTGAGAGATGGCAGAAAAAGCAGTTCTCTTCGGTTATGCTCATGACTATCATCCTGCTGTACTCCATGGAAATGGCCCTCTAAAAACATGCCATACCAGGGTTCCTGTGGGAATTCCAGTGCTAGCATGCAATTAAAACAAAGGCAGAACAATAGTATATAGCATATTACACACTAATACAGGAGGAGAGGGTTTTTTAACTCATTTAAAATGGAAGAATTTGAAAACTGGGGTTTTTATTTTGGGGGTAATTTTTTAAAAAATTAGAAACAAATGAAAGGTCTCCAACACATAAAAGAAATGACCCCAGGGGGTGTGTCTCCATGTGTTCCAATGATCCACTTGTGTCCTAGTTCATGCTCTTAGGCTTTAATGACTTCACTGGCACCACTCTCCAAAGGACTCTCTTGCTCACACACCAAGAACATGGCTCAGGAGTTTCCTTGTGCTCACCGGAAACTTTGTGTTCTTGTAAAAAAAACCCCAAACACTCTTATAGGCTCTTACAGCTAAAAACCTTACAGATAATTCCACTCTGTTACCAAAATTAGACAGATAAGAGACCCTGGCCAAGAGATTTGTGTTTCTTGGCAAAATAAACATTATACAGTATACTTCTCACAAATGTACGTTTTCCAAAATTCTATTCCTTTACTTTGAACTCCTCTTGCACTGCAGAAGAAGATTCATAGAACTGAGGAGTATCTCCTCAATAAATGAATATGGTAATTTCAAATCCAAAGTTGAAAACCAAATTAATCACATTTTAAGACAAATTCAAGGAACATTTTATCAAATCTTTAAAATGTAGTTTTGGTTTTTTTTTTTTTAAAGTAGCATTACCTTCTACCCAGTGTATCACAACAGAAGCTTGAGAATCTTAGTATACCCTCTTCTTAAAAACTCATTGCTGTGGAGTTGGAACAGATTCAAAGGTGACCCTCTTCTGGGTTTCTGAGATCGTGTTTCACACAAGAGGAGATGGACCATCTTTTTTTCCCTGAAGAGCTGATGGTAGATCTCAACCACTGAAGAGGCTCGGCATTTCTGTTAGCAGCATAACTCCTTACAAACCAAGCCACCAGAGCTCCCCTGTTACTATCCTAAACCAGTTACATACAACTGCAAATTGTACCTGTTTTTCTCCTTCTATATCTATTATCACTATCCTGATACAAGAAATTAGGATCTCTATCTTGACAACAATAGTAGCAGCATGTGATCTCTGTGTCTTCACTTGTTTCCTTCTAATCTATCTTGGTATTCATGATCTTGAACAGTAGACAACAACCAAACCCAAACTTTATCACCATTGACCTTGTTAAGTCTCATTTCCTACCCTTGTTAAAAATTCTTGTCATCTTATCTCTGTATTTGTCAAGCTATTTCCCATTTCCAGCTCCTTGAAAATATGGCTTTCTCTGCCTAGTAGTCAAGTTTACATTCTTCCTTAGAATTTGCTTTTTAATGTTAAATATAAGATGAAGAATTTTCACCACAAAAAGATTTATTTACGTAACTCTTAGATCTTTTAACTTAACCCTTTGGATCAGTTTGTCTTTGGAAATAATTTTCAGAAGAATATTATATTTTATATAGTCTTATTACTGGTTTTAAATATTGAGGCAAGTGATAAACTAGTAGAGGAATTAAACAATGAGAAAAAAAGCATGAATGGAAAGTAGCGAGGTCATAAAAAGCTGGATTTAAGGTGAGCTCTGGTGGCCTAGTGGCAAGGAGCTGCAACTACAATCCCAGAGGCACACGGTTCGAATCCACCAGATGCTCTGCCGGGAAAAGGAGGGACAATCTCCTCCTGTACCAGTCAGATCAGATCTGACGGTACACTCACACAAAAATGTAAAAAAAAAAAAAAAAAAAAAAAGCTGGATTTACATTCAAAGTCTGAAAAAACAGTAACTTGTCACAACTGTAAATAATATATTGTTCTAATTTTTCAACAGAAAAGATCCAAAGAAGCTACTTTAATAAATAAGAAATTTAGTTCAAAAAACCAGGACATCCACGTTGGTTTTTTGTGTGTGAGCTAAATAAACAATTATATGAAATAATCTTTAGAAAATGTGTGACACTGCAAAATACTTTATTATTTTTATGAAAGAAAAAGACCTCTAAACTTTTTATTAGTTAGCAATATTAACTAAGGTAGTTTCTTACAAGTAGATTTATGATTTACAGAACAATTTTATTATTATATGGACCACTTAACTTTAATTCTAGGATTTTTTGTTTTTAGTAGATCTTTCAAAACAAATGAAGCTGTTAACTTTTCAAAGGTCCTAGGATTTATATCTTCTACCCATTAGCTTAGTTCCAGCTCCCAAATTTTTCCGCAGTCAGTCTTAACTTAAAAAAATGAGTAATTTTCTCTCTATATATATAGGTGACACACAAGACTCCAATGACTTAGTCATGAATTTCTTTCCTGAGTCATATTTAACCTTCAGAGTAGGAGTCAAACCATTTAAAATGAGATACCTTCTGACACTCTTATCATATAATCTTTACCAACCAACATATGCTATTACGGAAAAATAATGTATATACATATGTATACGTATGTACCTAAATAAAGTTATAGTGAAAGTACAACAAATCTTTAAAGAAAAACTTTAGAGAAAATGTGTATCTGGTAAACTTAATGTCTGTTAAGTAAATAAAGAAGAAGAAAAAAAAAATAGTTTCTACCTGTCCACTCATCCTTAAATGTTTCTTATGACTTTGGTCACATTTTTGTAGCACGGAAAAGATAGCCTACTTCAAACATCACCTTCAAAAAAAGTAACTTTGTAAGATTTTATAAGCACAACAACTGCATGATGTTCCTCAAAGTAAAAATGACTTCTAACCTGTCTATTCTCAGGATCTGAGTTGCTCCCACTCCTTAGTTACATAATATTTGTATTATTTCAAGTACCCAAATGGGTATACAATTAATAAAAAAAAATTAGTAAACATGATGATGTTAGTCAATGTAAATTTTATGAGGATATAGGTTCTAACTCAGGAGTTACTGTAATCAATATAGCCTTTTAACTACTTCTTGCAAATGTTAAGTTCCAAATTACTATTTAACATTCAAAACATTATTAGATGGAGAACAAAATAAATACTTGACGTTGTGAAGTAAAAAAATTTGAAATAAAAATGATCTCAAACTCAAAATTGCTATCAATTTGTTCAGACTCCTGGTAACCCTTTGAGGAGGAGATTGCCCACCGTCTATCTCTTTTTGAAGAGGCCAGTGGATTTGAACCATCCAAGACATGCAGCCTTTGGGTGAGCAGAGCAACTCCGTACAGATTAGTCTGACAGAGCTCTAGAAAAGAAAAACAAAGGTGTGGTGGACCAATGGGTTAAGTGTTGGGCTACTAACCAGAAAAGTCAGTGATCTGAAAGTCAGGAGTTGCTCTGAAGCGTAAGATGAGGTACTTTGCTCCTGTGAAGACTCTTACAGCTTTGGAAAACTGGCGTGGGTTGTTCTACTACTGCCCTCTGAGCAACAATTCACTTGATGGCAGTGGAGCTTTTTATGTTTAGAAAATTCCAGTAGTGACCAGACAGACAATGGGCTTAACAGTACAGAGCAGACTCTGAGGATGGCGCAGTATCAGGTGGGTTTTGCTCTGTTGTACATTGAGGTCGTTAGGAGTCTGAGCCAACTCAAGATATCAAGAAAATTTTAGTAGCCTTCAAAGTAAACCTGCCTAACTTCCAATCAAATTCTCCAGGCAATATTCAACCTTGAAAGCTTTGGCAGAAATTTGTCTCATTTTTAATTTTGTGCCATATATATGAAAACAATTAAGTTGTGTGTGTCCTTGGGATAACTAAGCAAACACTATATCTTACAAAATTTAACATTACCTCCGTCTTATTATTTTCACTGAGATGAGTAACAATTTTTGATATGTCCATTACATGAACTAAACTGTATCACCAAAATGCATATGCAGAAAGAACATACAGAGTACTGACACGTGATACAGCATGAATGAATTTAGAAAACATGCTAAGTGAAAGAAGCTAAATTCTATTATGTGTGAGTTCATGTTTAGAGCAGGCATATCTACAGATGGAAAGTAGACCAGTGCTTAGGTTGTTATATGCAATGGTTAAGTGCTTGGCTGTGAAACAGAAAGCTGGAGCCACTTTGTAGCAGAAACATATGGCAGTCTGCTTCTGTAAAGATTTCCTGCCTCAGACACTCTACAGGGTAGTTCTCCTCTGCTCTATTTGGATTGCTGTTGGAATTGCACTTAGAAAATCTGCTGTTCAGGACCTCTCCAGTGTATGGAAAAGTAACGATGTCAGTCTAGAGACTAAGGTGCACCTAATCCAAGCGTGGTCTTCGCAATTACTTGCTATGCATCAGAGAGCTGGACAGTGACTAAGGATGACAGAAGATCGATGCCTTCAAATTGTGGTGTTGGACAACAGTCCTGAACATACCTCAGACTGCCAAGAAAACAAATAGGTCTGTTTTGGGGAGGGTGAAACCAAGATGTTCCTTGGAGTCTAGGATTTTGAAGCTCCATCTCATACACTTTGGGCACATGGACAGAAGGGATCCAGGGACATCATGCTTGGAGGGGTAGAGGGACAGAAAGAGCAGGAGAGGAAGACCCTGGATGAGACGGATTGTTACAGTAACTGAGGCAATGGGGAATGTGTGTCAGAATCAGCAAGACTGGCTCAGGACAGAGCAGCCTTCAGAGCTGCTGTACATAGGGTCACAGGCGACTTGACAGCACATAACAACAACAGGAGTTGGAATTGATATGAGTGGGAACAGGTCATGTTTTTTGGTTTAGAGATGAGGTGGGTGTGGAAAGGGATGAATGGGAAAAGTTTCTTTATAAGGTGACAAAAATATTTTAAAATTGCTGTGGTGATGGTGGCATATCTGTAACACAGCAAAATCAACAATGAACAGTACACATAGAAATGCATTACCAAGTAATTCCTAAAATAAATCTAAGCAACCAAACATAAAAGTCCCTGAATTTGTAGTGGAAAACTCAGAAATGCACAAAGGAAAAGTAATCCGGAATGCATACAATGGACTTCCAATCCTTTCCCTCTCATGTCTCTACGGCAATCTCAGAGGAAAGAGATACTGCCTGCCCTGCCTGGGATCCTGTCTTCCTTTATTCAGGTGACTCATGTATTTTCTACCTTCCTCCATATCGCTCAATATCTATTGGGTTATTTCCCCCTCTATTCTAACACTTATGAAAAGAGCTGTTAAAGTGGTCAATGACATGCTAATTTCCCAATCTAGTGGGGATCATTTCTGCTTCTTTCCTTTTCTCCTTTCCTGTTATTTTACTATCTGTGAAGCTATTCCCCTGTACTCAACTTCTAGGACAAATGTTCTCCTGGTTTTCCTGTTATCTTTAGGACTGAGTCTTTAAGTACTCCGATTCATAAATGATCTTTTGTCCTTGTTCCTTCATTCACCTCGAAAGTAATGAATGAGAAGCTTAAACTTCTGTGATGACTCTTGAATTTTTAGCTCCCCAAAAAACCACATTAACTTGAAAAAATAGCCATTTGATTGGCAACAGCTTTCATCTCTTTTCCTTGCCTTTGAAAGTGCCTTGAATCTTATTTTAAACAGAATGTATCCTTATCAAGCAGGTTTTTCTCTATGTTCATACCTCCAGTAAATGGGAAGAGTTGTCAGCCTAGCCAGAAATTGAAAAGTCACTCCATTCCATTTTTCATTCCCCTTTGTTATCTTCCCATCTGCATATATCTTCAAGTCCTGCAATGGCCACCTCCTAAATATTTTTCAAATGTGCTTTTGTCTCTCTATTCTTCTCTAGGCTTCCTACCAGTCTCTATGCTTATAGTCTTGGCCTCCCACTGCCAAAATGATGTTTTCAAGATGTAAATCTGATCATGGCATTCTATTAAATTACTTCTTAATCTAGTACAATACATTCATATTTCTCAACTGCTGCAACATCAGTATTTCAGGTTGAGACAAGTTTTTCAAAGCGTATTTTTCTGTCGTTTTAAACATCCTTAGCTTTCTTCACACTCACTGGGTCAATCACAACCATGGCTATTCAATTCTTCACCACATGGGTTGTTACGACTCTCCTAGGTTAAAAATAACTGGGTGATCTGTCGTTTGTACTTTATCCACACCCTCCCGAGTTAGGTGTCACATGCCTCTCTGTTAGGGCCATAGTGTACAATCTCTGTTTGAACTGAAGATGCTGTCTTTCAAGGTCATGTGCATGGCAATGTTCTTCATGTGGCTTGGCTTACTTTTACCATGCTTCTTTGCACGGACAGGTCCCAGTGAAAGCACTCTGAATTCAGATTCCATCTTTTCAACAAAGCCTTTCTCTATGCTCTGAGGCTGGTGGTTGTTCTCGTTTTTATAGCACCTATAAGGATGTTACCATCCATGTGCAGATACCTGTGACATGGTTTTACTTTTATTTCAGTGTATGTTATAAAGCTTACATTCCAGGAGGTTATCATCTAGCAGACTGGCTCCTACCCAGTGCTGACAAGATGTTCTGTCAATAGGCCTTTGTGTGGAAACAATCTCTCACAGAGGGCAGCAATCTGACAAAAACTCAACAACCACTCCATCTAGGGTTCTGGCCAACAACTAGCTTAAAGTAAAGTGACTCTACACATGAACATACTAAGTCCTTATTTGAATGCCTTTTAATGAGGCATATTTTTATCTATTTTTTTCCTCAAGGAGCCTAAATTACTTGGTGATTCTGTACTTTCTGCAGAAACGAAGTACTACTTTTAAATTGTCATTACATGCATAAGGCAATGCAATCAATCAAAATACAAATGAGCTTCCCGTATACCATCAACTTCTCAGTCTAAGAAACCAAAATGTTTCTGGTGGACTTTAAGTATCTGCAGTTGTTCTATTAATATTTATTACTAATAATTTCAGCAATGAAAACATATTGAAAAAATTATGGCATTCTAGACAAAATGTCTATATAAAAACCTTATAAATTTAATTTTTACCTGGGATTGTTTTTTAATGTATTTACTAAAAATTCATGTAGATCTATGCCAGTTGAATCAGTGTATTCTTGACTGGAATCTAAAAAAACAACACAAAAACCCAGTATAAAGTTGTTTGAAAACCAATTCCTTTTTTCTCCTTTACATATAATGCGTATCTTATAAGAACAATTTGCCTATATTGAAGAAAACCTAATTAAAACAGAAAAGGGGAATTTATGATGAACTCAGATGACCACGTTTTTTTTTATTCCCCCCAAATTCACTATGTGTTTACATAGCCACATGTACATGCAAATGAAATAAAAAAATTAACCTTTTACATGTGCCAGTCTGATTTACTGAATTATCTAAAGAGCCTCTTAAATACTCACCATAATAACTTGTTAAAAAAATGCCTCGTGAAAATTTCCAATGACTTTTCAATTAACTACATGTTTAGCAAATTAATACAGTTTAGATATGAAAAGTGAAGACAACAATTTGGAAGTAGAATTTGAAAAAATGTATCAGTTGTGTTACTGAAGGCTTACTTTCAAAGTTGGTTTATTTTCTTTAAATACTTATATTCATTGCCATTAAATTTATCTTTCTGTAATTTATAATACTGGACAACTGGATATAAATTTTAAATATAAATTTTAAAAGCACTTTTATTATTGGCAATGTTAGGTGATGGTGAAGACTCTTAAAAAAAAAGATTATAAAAGAGAAGTACTGTAGGTTTCCAAGAATATACTTACTGGGTGCTGATTACTGGCACCAAGACTTTTCTAACATAAGAGATAAATAGTACTACTTTCATTAAGGAGCCAAGAGAGTTCAAATGGTTTGCAATTATCTGTTAACTGATAGGTCAGTGAACACAGCAGTTCTGTGGAAGTAAAGGTCTAATGAACTGTTTCTGTCAAGATGATTACAGCCAAGAAAACGATGGGTAGGCTCTTCTCATGGCACTGCCATGAGTCAGGGGGTTGACTTGACAGGAGCCAACAAATAAAACAACAGGTATTTTTAGTAGAATCAATAAACAACTTTTAGTTATTAGAGAAAATTAAGAGACCAGTAATAGATCAAGACAATCAATGACTCTTGTGTATCTCAAAATTTTTGTACTAAAGCATTTTATTATGTTAATAATTATGTTACTTTGCCCAGTCATGGCTTCAGTGTCCATTTTTATACCTAACTTATATGTTCAAGGGGTAAAGACAGGAAATACTGACAGTGAAAAATTCTCTTTAAAAAACACAATGAAATTGCAAACCTCTTGATAACATTTTTCTGGGCAATTTATCACTGGCTTTTTCTTTTTCTGCTTCATCTTTTGAGGGCTTCTCCTCTTTGTCAAATGATTGTGTTAACTGGATCTGAATTTTCTCCTGTTGAAAAGCACAATCAGTTATTCATGGAAAATATATATAACTCAGATTGGCTGTATCTTTTAACCAACATAAATCTGTATAGTGGAAGAAAAGGAAAATAATTTTCATTCCATCCAATTTGATTCTTGAAACTAGAGACAAAAATCTTACCACTTTTTTCAAATTCATCCTAAAACAGGTGAAAATTAACATTTTCAATTGAGCATACCCTCAGAATTAGATAAACAGTTGTCTGTAATAGTTAACTATCACCAAAAGACCAGATTGAAGACCTTAATATTTTTGTGATGAAGATGCGATAGTCAAGCAAAAGCAGAATTATCATCATCAGTAGTATCCAATATTGTATTTGTTCTTTTGACAGATAAAATGACAAAACACAAAAAATACAAAACCAAATGCATACACTATTTCCTATTTGAGATTTATATGTTACCATCTTCCTTCTAGATATTAATTCTAAAACAATCATAATTTCACAGACTGAAAAGGAGAATGTTTTATTTTATTGGTCAAAAGTTTAATTTCAGCTACCCTCTGCTTGTTCATCTAGTATCATGTTCTATTTATTTAGGCAAAATTATAAGGAAGCTAGAAGAATATCCAGACAATTTCTATTACAGATAAATATGTAACCTAATTTTAGACTAGATTATACTAATACTTTCTACTAAGAACCACCACCACAAAATCAATCCAAGAACTTCATTTTTCTGAGTGGCAGTAGTGGTGGCAATAAATTGGAATCAAAGGAGGTAAAATGTCAGGAACTTGAAACCAGCAGGATTTCTATTAAACTATCTCCACTCCCCAATTATTCTTTCCAAATGGTTTTTGGGATGAATGAGATCAAACATACACTTGCCCCTTCCTAGGGTGGTTACATGAGACTTTTACTGCTTGTCAATCCTCTAAGATGATAGGAATAAATCATCTCAGTTCAAATGTGTTCTTGGAATATAGGGCAGATGTTGGAATTTGCATCTCTACTATTTTCACCAGAATGATGAATATTTTAGTTTATGCTTTCCCATGTCTTGCTTACCAAAGACACAGAAAATGTAATTAATTCAGTAACCAGAAAATTATTTTTCCCATGATGAATCTCACTTTCTAACCTATTTTTTCCTCATTCTACTCAGAAATGCAAAGAAGATACTTAGAAAAGAATCTCAGAAATATTTTTTACAGCTAGAATATTTAGAAGCTTTCTTGACTTCTGCTTCTCTTCCTTTTGCTTAAGAATGATCTTATGAGACCCTGGTTGGGAGAAAACATTATATCTTCAAAGATTTCATTTCTAAAATCTCCTCCCATAGCCCTCAAGTCCACTTCTTTCTTTTCCTATTAAAAAGGCAAAACATTTACATTTCAGATACGAGGCTATATCATGAAAACGACCTATGTTTTAAGACTTCAGTAGGCTTGTCTTCATTTAGAACTGAAGCCTGTATTTTCAGTAGCGTGAATAAATGAGAATGATTTTAAATGTCTCAGTTCTTATACATGAACTCTTCTGATTAAATTAACTGGAGTGACAGGAACATTTCCAGAGGAACGTGTCATTCCTTTACTCTTCACTCTGTCACTGACATCTGTTATTGAGGTCACTTCCCTCTCATAAACTCTCATCAGATACCAGTTACATCTTTCTTTTAATTGCCTTTCACTCTTTGGCGTAATGAGTTTTATTCCAGATTAGTTCCTCAAACAAAACATTCTGAAGCCAATAAATTAGATGGAAAGTATCTCTACCCTCAAGGATTAGATACTAAAATATTTTATGAGAAATAATTTATTTCCAGTTCTCACTGAGGTGCAATTTTAGATAACTCAAAGCTTGGGGGAAAAAAGCTTTTCTATTAAAAAAGTATCTTTTGTTCAGAGGGATAAAAATTAGTTGTTACACAAATAGAAAAAAAATAATCATATCCCAGAAAAACATTTTGAGAAAGAAAGTATTATGTGGAATAAATGAACTCTATTATATTTAGCTTATTTACTAACCATGTAACTCAAATTTTGGGACTTTAATCACAAAATTATCTTTGAACAATAATATGTAACAAACTCCTGATAATAGTTATCAACCTTTTTTTCTCATTTAAATTTTTACTAGACAAATTTATGTGGTGCCTTAAGAATTCTTGGACCACAATATTGTTCAGGTTGAACAAAACTAATGATCATGATACAAATTTTCTTATTTATGAAAAATAGGCATTTTTCTTGCATTAACACTTTTATAAGTGGTTGATTCTTATTATTTCTTATGTTTTACTAGATTAAATATATTCTGTTACAACATTTTGGTTCGCAAAATGAATCTGCAAAAAAAACAAATATGTTGTACTGTCCATTGCTTCCCCTTGATAAAGCTTATTTTTTATTTTAGCTTATACAAAAGTTTAGAATTGGTATTTAAAAACAAATTCTATGAATTTTTCTTAAGAGTATCTCAACTCTCCAACCTTAACATAACTATCTAAATCAAAGGTTAAATTTCAAAATGTTCTCTAGGCAACAGAACTTAGTAAACCATTCTCATTCTAATTCTGCAGTAGAAAAGTAATTATTTTAGCGTTAAAAATCACCGTATTTTGAACAGAATAAAACAGCCATATTTTATCTATGTAGTTAAAAAGAAAATAAATTTTGAACAATGTGTTCCCTACACTAAAACAAATTTAAAATGAACAGTTTTAAAGTTGGTTTCACAGACTGACAATATATTTTAAAACCTCCTAGTAATACTTCTGGAAACAAAAATATCCTAAACCTATGATATTTATAGGAGGCTTTTGAGGACATTATCTTCTATTTCAAAGGAAAGTTGTTTTAGCTTGACTCACCAAATGTAAAATGACATTTCATGAGGGGTGAAAATCTCTCTGAGCAGTCAAGACTCCTTTTTTTGCCACCTGCCCCAATTAATGGCTTATTTAATCAATCACAAAGATGTTTTCATTTTTGTGGAAATTGAGTGTTTAGACAGAGACACTCTGGGTTTGTTGAAATTCTTATATACCCACTAACAGTTACCATACTTTTCAAGATTATTAATGGAGGAGAATAATTACAAGAATAATTACATATATTCAAATGTAGCATGAAACAAAGATCAAAAACAACAGTTGAAATGAACCGAAGAGTAAATAAACTTTTAATATTTAAAAGAAGATAAAAGACAAACAGAATTGTTTGCTTGAGTCAACTACTCTGTATTTTAGAAAAGTAGACAGAAGATTTAGAATATGATGACTAACACAAGTGGTAAGTGACAAATTTCTAAAAGCTAAAACGAAAAGGGCACATTTCTCCATAATTACATTTCCTGGACGTATTAATTGAATTTGACAAAACTTTTAATAACAATCTATAATTCTTTTGAAGTCATTACTTCTAGTTAGGTAAATAATCCCTGTTTTTTATGATGAAAAATTATTGCACGAAGCCTTAGAATAATGTAAAAAGGTTTTCCTGTATATCTGAAAATGGCAAATATTATCAAATCAGTTTCACTTAGTAAAAACAAATGTGCACACACACCTCCATCCGGCTTAACCTGATGAAATATTTTCTCCAGCAAGCAGGATATTCCACCATGTCTTAAACAATACTTTCTAGTCTTTTTTTTATTTTGCCTTTTTTTTTACCTGGTTATCCTGTGATATCTCTGCAGCAGGGAGTGGCGGAGACTCTTCACATACTGCAAGGCTCCGAACTAGCTTTAACTTTGAGCTTGACTAAAGAGAAGTATTTAAAATTAAGACTCCATTTCACAAATCTAGGGCATTTCCAAAAGCCTCCTAGAAGAGAGTTTCTTTATAAAAAGCTTTTGCCACGTATAAAAGAAGATGAAATGTGCAAGCTAAATGTATCATCAAATACCACTAAATTCCTTTGTTAAGAAGGAAAACAAACATTTGCAGTTTTGAAATTCAGAGAAATAAGCAAGAATGGAAATAATTCCAATTTCAAAACCCAAAGAATGGCGAGAAAGCTATTTTATATTTCTATAGATAACGACCATCAAAGATATAAAAGCAATGCATAAAAGCAACTACGCAAGACAAAAACTCAAATCAAAACAAAATAAGCTTTCTGCCCCCCCCAAATATGACAAAACTAAACTGAATGCAGTGCTGTATGAGGAACAAGGATTCAGCGAGCATGAAGGAAGGCCTTTGGCATGCTAGCACACCAAAATAGTTACTATACCTTAGACCTTTTTCCTGTCTGTCCCAATGACTGCAATGGCCGCTGAATATACAAGAAAAATTGGTATTAAATTTTATGTTGACACAGAGAATTTGCTTCTTAATTCATAAACCTAAACCAAAGCGATACTAACTATGTACACAGTATGAAAGGTTTAAACAAAAAAATTCAAAGGTTTCAGTCCAAGGGTATTAACTCCTACAATAATATTTGCCCAATAGTTTCTAAAACGGTTCTGTGGGCTGGTAAGTTTCTTTTATGCCAAAGGCTAACATTTCTATATTAAGTTTAGCTACACATAACTTCTCAGAGTGCAGCAAAATAAAATACACTTCATCAGTGTTTTGTAACATAACAATTGTTCTGTCAATTTTGTAAATAAACTAAACTCCTAAAGAATTTTATGTAGCTATGAACAAATAGGTCTGTCTTGGAGAGGGTGAAACCCAAGTTTCGCCTTGGAGGTAATATTTTGAAGCTCTGACTCACCTACTTTGGGCATGTGGCCAAGAGGAACCAGTTTTTGGAGAAGACTTCACTCTTGGAAGGGTGGAGGGACAGCATAGGAGAGGAAGACCCCGCTGAGATGGATTGACAAAAGTAACTTGGGCAATGGGATTAGGTGTGTCGAAGTCAGTGAGACTGGCTCAGAATAGGGTAGGGTTCAGACCTATTGTACATAGGGTCTTTAAGAGTTGTAGGAGACTTGATAGCAAATCACAACATGCACAGCAGTGTGGCAAACTTGGTAACAAAAATGTTTCCCACTCACATTGAATCTAGTGAGCCTTTTTTGGCGTATAGCAAGTACACTACTAGTTTATTAGTATAGGAATAATAGTCACAAGTCTTGGCTAAGAGTTTGGAAAAGAAACAAAAAAGAACAGGGCAGAGCTAAAACACAGATGGACAATTAATGTAGTTTGCATGTCATCCATGACTTGACTGGGGAGCCCAATGTATACTGCTCTACTCCGTGATTCCAGGCTGTGATTTAAGAAACCAGCTGCAGCTTCCGTCAATCCCACCAGACAGGTTTGAAACATGCTTTCTCTCCTTCCTCCCACTGTCTTCCAATATAGGGCTCCAAATCCATACTCAAAACAGTAAAGGGTCCAGGGACCCACTGTTTAGACTCAGTAAAACAAGGGAACCAATGTGGGACCAAATATAATACAAACCTGTTAATATCAAGGCTACTACAGGTCATATAAGAATGAAAAAAGCCACCAGGTCATTTGAACGTAACAAAAATGATTTTCTGATAGAGCCAAGAGATCTAAGAGTCTATGAGACCCAGTGTGTCTCGACTCCAACTTCAAATTCTTAAGCGGCATTCGCATCCTTGAGATTCTGATTCTGGCTTACCCAACGATAAACTACCAAGAGCAAAAGGAAAAAAACAACCACCAAATGAAAACACTAAAACACCACAGAGCAAAGAATAAAATGACATGACTTTCAAGTTATTTTTAAAATTTTATTTTATATTGTTTTGCAATGACTTTCTGTTACTTACAGAGAAGAAAATGGTGTACCCGGACTTTCTAGGAGAGCTACAGCATATTAGCAGTTTATTCTCTATCTATTCACACTTTCTAGCTTGTTCAAGGAGATTTTTAACTGTAAGTAACTCACATCCAAAAAGAGAAGTTATGTTGCCAGAGTTAGAGCTTAAAGGGGAGAAAAGGAAGAAGCAACAGAAGAATACTAGTAAAACGGCATATGGTCTCTAAGAGGACAAAAGGGAAAAGCTTTTGTGAGTTATCTGTAATTCATTCCCATTTTCTAGATAAATGTCTTGCAATTCTAAGTATAATGGTATAAAACTTTCTATTAATTTTAAAGGAGATGATTGACAGAGTAAAGATTATTATAAGGCCTAGATTGAAATCTCTAGCTTTGCTATTAGCAGATGAACTCAGTGACAAATTCTTGTTTGTACACAAATTCATACTATTTGTACTGATTCATGAGTTACTTGAAAAGAATCAGTGAATGAGCAGATGAAAAAGTATTGTGCTCTATGGACTCTAAAACATTTTATAAGTTTAATACCTTGTACAGACTAGGAACAGAGGATTTCACTTTAGCTCACTAGTTCTAACAGAGAGAAATCACTTGGAATGTTAGATGCTAACTTTAAAAAGGAAAAAAAACCCCAACCCAACCTATAAACTGGGGTGCTGTGTACTCCCCTAATAAACTTTCAAGTACTGACAGGGCATACATGTGTATATTCTAGCTCAGTTTTAACTTACAAGGAATCTGTAAAGATGAAGAAAGATACAGAAAAGTAAACTTTGATTTGACGTAAATGTTTTCTGAGTTCCTGCTGTACATCAGACACTAGGTCAAGGCACAAGGAAGTAATGAATCAAATGCTAATTATGGTAGAGAAAATTGTAAACTGGCCCTAAAAGACTGCCATCCTCTGGTTATTTAATGAAATACTCAGTACTTTAATACAGACTAAGTACTTCTGTAAAGGGGTTTGCAGCTATAACTAAAGATCCAAGGCAGTGATCTTAAAATCCAAAGATTAATTGGGTGGCCCTGACCTAAGCAGGAAAACTTTTTAAAAGTAAACTTCCTCAGGGTGGTAAGGCTGCGAGACTAATCAGAGGACTTAGCACTTTATTGCTGGCTTTGAAGAGGAGGCTACATGAGAAGGAATGTCTGTAGCCACTCTGAGCTGAGTGGTCCCTGGAGCACAACCTGCCAAGAAATATGGGTCTGTGACCAAATACAGCAAAGGAACTGAATTTTGCCAAAGATCATTATGAGGATGGAACCAATTTTTCCAGAGTCACAAGGTCAGCATCATCTTAATTTTGGCCTTTGAGCAAGAAGATGATAACCTAGCTTCAAGCAATTTCACTTCTGACCTACAGAACTTGTTTTGAACCTCAAAATTTGTGGTAATATGTTACACAGCAATAAAAAAAAAAAACCAAACACCAAATATACTACCACAGAAATAGCACATACATTAAAAAAACGGCTGTTATTCAAGAAAATATTTCTCCCCCATTAAAACAGCAAAATACTGTAGTATCACAAAGAAAAACTGCCAGTGTATACAAAATCACCAGCAAGGCATAGAACGTAAATTGTTCTCATTAAAAGCAGCCAGCTTATTAATATTCTTAGAAGCCAAGTACAGCTTTATGCAGAAATTCTCACAATTCTGGGTACAATTACTGTAAAGACAGATTTTATTATATGAAGCACAGTTTTTACCTTTTTTTTTTTTAAACAATTTTTTTAAAAAATTTTATTATTTTTGTGTGCGTGTACTGTCAAATCAGATCTGACTGGTACAGGAGGAAATTGTCCCTCCTTCCCTGGCAGAGCATCTGGTGGATTCGAACCGTTTGCCTCTGGGGTTGTAGTTGCAGCTCCTTGCCACTAGGCCACCAGAGCTCCCCAGTTTTTACCTTTTATAGAACTTAAAGTTACAGCAAAAATTTAGCCTCTTGTTTAACAGATCTTTACTACTACAGAAAGAGTGAATCACGATTTAGAAGGTTTTGTAAACAAAACAATGAATTTATCCTTGTTACTGGCTGAACACAGAAGTAGAACTGAGGCATACTAAAGTAAAAACAAAATAATCAACCCTGAGATTTTAATGATGAATGGTTAAGACTTAAGTCACAATCAGTGTAGTTGGCTTTTCAGTATACTGTCTTACAGACCAACTTCAAGGGCAAAGAAAAACCAACACTGCTGATGACTTTATTACTTTTCCTTTTAGACAATAAAATTATAACTTTAAGCAGATGTGCAATTTCTTTTATAATAAGGATGTGAAAGATTCTCAAAACATAAACTGTACATTAATCACTATCCAAAGCCAGTGAGTTTTATAATTGTAACAAAAGAAACAAATATCTAAATCTATAAAGTTAACATAAACCTAAGACTTGGTACACTTCTTAGTTTTTCAGTCTTCTTTAAATATAATGCTTTTTTTGGTCGGATGCTTCCTTGTTCATCTTTGTACTGGGAAGCACACTTCAAGATTAGTTTATAGTTTATGCAATACAAAATAAAACAGGCAGGATTAAAATTATTAAAATCATGAAGCATGAGCCATTTCTGTGCACTATTAAGGGAAATCTGTGGCAGTGCATAGCGAACTGTGCTGCAAAGTCAGAGGCAGAAGCCTCTCTGGCAGCTCTGAGGGAAAGAGATGAGCAATCTCCTTCCCTGTGAGTTACAGCCTTCCAGAAACTTGCTTCACGTGCAGCTGAGTTGGTTCCTCTAGACAACAGCAACAGGTGAACAGGGAAAGGAATTCTGGTGGCCCAAACCATGGAAATAGCACTATTAAGCAGCGCAAAGGCTTTGCCTCTCTGGGGGTTTGATTCCACTAGTGACACAAAAGGAAAAAAACTGGGCAATCTCCCATGTGACTTATAGTCTCCTGAAAACTTATTGGAGAATCAGATACTGGGTAGTTCTGATTTAACAGCAATGGTGGAGTTTTGTTTGGGGTTCTTTTTTTTTTTTGTAAAAGAAAGAATAGCCATTTTTATGAGTTATACTGTGTGTTAACAAAAAACCAACAGGCAATCTAATAATCTCTTAAAAGGAAATCTGATTGTTTTTAAAAAGAGATCATTTTGAATGAGAAAAAACAAAGGAGATCATTTATTTGTAATTCATAATAATTCTAACCAAAAGAAATCATAAACTGAGGCTTTTGGAAGAGGCTACCAGGTTAATGGCAAGGATCAGGTTAATTATGTGGGAGAAGGTCATAGCTTTTAAATGTCTAAATATCATAAGTTATATAATAAACAACAGCTGCCAGGATACTAACTTTCACCAAAGTTATAGAACCCAACACAATTTTCTGAGTCTGGACAGGTGACTTTTTATTTTCATTCAATCAATCAATCTCAACCAGATATTTGTTGATACTATTTAACCCTCTGGGGTGAATATCATTTATTCGCTCATTGCTTTCAAGATGGAAGTGACTAACTGCTGACCCTCCAGAGGATTTTCTGGCGACTGGGAAGAGCTAAATC